CATGATATCGCACCGACATAAGACCGCATGACAGGCACACGTACTGACGTACGCACAGAGGCTGCATGTCTGGAATGCAAGCTCCTTTAATGATACCATGCATATGATCTTATAAGCTCTTTCACACGCCGTAGCCACATCATGGGCCACAGGCTTTTCATGGCATACATATTAAGTGCATGTGTATGACATTCCGAGTCCTAGTGCAACTTTGAGATCGACGTCTTTACCTCGCGTGATTCAATGAGGCTTGGAGCGACGTTGAGCTTATCACCTATAATATATTCTTATTTGTTAGTGCTTGTGCATTTATGATTCCTAGGACCTTGGTGAGCTTTGTTCTGATCCTGAGTTGCGTTGGCGGCCGCAATTTAGTATACCCGGGCATCGTGTCAGGACTCAGAGCACCTTTGCAGTGGTGCAGTGAACTCCAATGAAAAACCCGACTTCCAAGGGGTTTCGGGTGACGGCCAGTGACTCGTGAGCATCTAAAACCGGCCTCTGTCAGAGGATTTATTCCTGAGGATGTGTTCCGCTTGTCAGAGTTTAGAGTTCCGCTTGTCAGAAAATGTGAATACCGTCCGTATTCTAGTTTACGATTTAGAGCTTCGTTGCGATGGTCACAAATCCCCTGATTCACACTCCGTTCTCCGGACGATTCTTTGGTTCGGAGGATTTAATCCTGAGGATGTGTTTTGCGTGTCAGAAAATGTGAACACTGAATGCTCTCAGTATTTTACTTTACGATTAATTTACGATTCAGAGCTTTGTTGCGATGGTCAACAATTCCCTCATTTACACAGTACTCTCCCTTCTATTTACTATTCTTTGCTTCCGATAGCAGCTAGAAGAATACTGGTCAGGAATTGTTGTCATATAACTTCTCCAGGACTCAGGAGATGTTGTCATACCGTACTTCTTGGGCAGGAGACAGCGTCTTCTGAATACGGTTGTACGGTATGGCCGCTGGTGGCAAACGCTAGTATATGGTACTTGTTCAGTACATTCAGTACTCTGCATGATTTTCACACTGCACAGCCTGGCAGGTACGGTATGCAGTGCCAGAGATCTGATCTGACAGGGGTCTGTCGAAGACTGACAGGCCAAGTGCTTTTACCGATCGGCGCCCCGAGTCTCTACAGTCCCTCCTTCATGCCTCAGTGGCTCATCCAGGTCAGACTAGCTGCGAGTCCAACAATGGTTCTTGTGAATTGCAGGGGCCCGGAACATGGCTTCTAGACTTCTGAGTACTAGGGTTACAATTGGCGGAACACGAGGTTCAGTCATGGCTGCAGCTTAGGCAGATCCAGCTCTGAAACTTTGCTGCAAGACCAGACACCACAGTGGTATCCAATACATCACACGTGAACACGTGTTTATGGATGTGTTTTAAAAACTTGCAGGAAAACTTGTTTCAGAGGGCATGCTGATCAAGCCGCTCACACAGCTAACACAACCCTGTCTGGCAGACTTCGAGGCTTCATCTGGGCTTCAGGGGCTTCTCCCCTCCTTGCCCTAGTTGATCGGTGAGGGATATGCATCATTCTGCACGTAACATTCTTTGGTCTTTGAATAGCTCATTTCTGGAAGAGCTCCTCAAAGAAATCCTCAACATCCCCATCAGTTTTCAAGGTCATGACTTCATAGACTTGCTTGTCCAAGCTTGAACCTAAATATATGGACGTTACGAAAACAGGGATGAAGGCTGTGCATAGAAGTGCAGCAAGAATGTCACGATGTTTGAATGGAACTATTGGGGAATGGCGTGGCCATGTTTGTCTTGCAAGGGCGAAGATTTAACCACCAGAAGTCCTGAGCTGATAAGCGTGCCTTGCCACAATGCCTTGCCCAACAATTGCATTACTTAAACCATGATCTGCATAATGCAGGGACTCAAGGGGAAGGATGGCACAAGGACGTCTCTTCCAGGCCATCGTGGTTTCTTGGCTCATGCTCTCTCCAGTCAATTGCCAGACAAAGTGTAGCGCCTGGACGGCCACAGGGTCCCTGGACATTATAAGAGACGGTCACATAGCCACCCCGCTCATTACCGGCAAGGTGCTGGTGGCGGGGGGTTACGTTGGTGGCAGCTCTTTGCCCTTCTCCGAGCTCTACGACCCAACGGCGGGCACCTGGACGGCCACAGGGTCCCTGAACGTTGCAAGATACGGGTCCAAAGCCACCTTGCTCTCCACTGGAGAGGTGCTGGTGGTGGGGGGTTACAGTTTCAGTGACTCCAACATCTTGAGCTCCTCCGAGCTGTACGACCCAACGGCGGGGGCCTGGACGGTCACAGGGTCTCTGAACAGTCCAAGATGGCTTCACACAACCACCTTGCTCTCCAATGGCGAGGTGCTGGTGGCGGGGGGTTCTGGCCCCTCTGGCTCCCCGACTTATTCCGAGCTGTACGACCCAATGACGGGCACCTTCACGGCCACAGGGTCCCTGGACGTTCCAAGAACCAATCCCACCGCCACCTTGCTCAACAGTGGCAAGGTGCTGCTGGCGGGGGGTAACGGCGTCACCTATGCCGACCTCGTCTTGAGCTCTTCCGAGCTGTACGACCCAATGACGGGCACTTGGACGGCCACAGGGTCCCTGAGCTTTGCAAGGTCTGGTCACACAGCCACCTTGCTCAGTACGGGCGAGGTGCTGGTGGTGGCGGGGTTTAACTACTTCCTTGGCTACTGGAGTTCCTCCGAGCTGTATGACCCAATGACGGGCACCTGGACGGCCACAGGGTCCCTGAGCTTTGCAAGATCTGGTCACACAGCCACCTTGCTCAGTACGGGCGAGGTACTGGTGGCAGGGGGAAAAAACTACGTTGACGGCTTCTTGACCTCCTCCGAGCTGTACGACCCAACAACGGGCGCCTGGACGGTCATAGAGTCCCTGAATGTTGCAAGACTGAGTCACACAGCCACCTTGCTCGGTACCGGCAAGCTGCTGGTGGCGGGGGGGTTCAGTCCCACGTTTGGCCTCTTGACCTCCTCCGAGCTCTACGGTCCATGTGAGTAGTTACAAGCCAATCCTTTAGTCAAGCCTCAATCCATGCTTCCTCGAGTCACGAAGTCCTTCCAAGATCGATGCTATAATGATTGGAAGCTTGCCTTTTTTTTAAGGATTCAACAATCAGCCTCATCGGACTTGCTTGACCTAGAACAACTTAAACTTGGTGATCCTGCCAATGTACCAGACTTTATGGTGGCTGAAGTCTTAGGCATTGCCCGGTTAGCGGTTGGGGTTGTGAAAGCGTTTCAGTCCTGATAGAATTCGGACTTAAAGATGGTCACAAGCACATCTTTGTAAGTTCAAGGATTGCGCGGTCTCCAAGTCCTCTCGCTGAAGTTGCAGTTTTACTGCCAACATGATAATGTGAGTAGAGTGTTGGCTTGCACAAAAGTTCGATGCAGGGTAGTCCCTGAGCTTCAACATTGCAGCCTACAACAAACCAATTACCCTCCAAGTCTTGATGCACTAGTTCTCATGTGAAAACTCATGCTAGCAACTTGCTGCGGGACTGCGGAATAGGTCTGAATCTTCAGATGGCAGCAATACAGCGACCGCAATGTAATCCCGACTGTTGTAAGGCACCGGTGTTGTGACCCTGACGTGCGTTTGCCCTAACAAAAAATCCGTGTCCCTTTTGAACAGGTAACTCGGCTGATGGAGGCTTTGACCCTCACTTTGAACTGACGGGTCTGGATGGCAACGAGAAGTTCACGTTCGACTTCCATGGAGAGCCAAATAAAACTTTTTGCTTGGTATCTGACGCGACCATTCAGGTGACTGGCCCAGGCATTCCACAGATTGCAACATCCACAAAGAGTTTCTAGGAGAAACCATCAACCTTTGGGCGAGGATCAAATCGGGTGCACCTAGAAGCAAGTTTTATCAATCAGAGATTAACGTACAAATGTTTGGTCTCACTGAGCTCACGAAAGTGCTGAAAGAAAGGCTTGAGGAGGTAGAGCCTTTCTTTACCGGCACGTGGATGGACGGGCTGGGCTTCCTTTATCTTGACAAAGCTGGACAGCAGCAAGACCTGAGCGTCATCTTTGACGCGGCTCTGGACCGGGCAGGAACGCCACCTTTCAACATCTCCTTCAACGGGGAGAATATTGTAAGTCACAATTGCCTTTTCTGAGTGGCTGATTATCTCCCCTTCGAGATCAGTGGCCGTGTTACCATACCTTTCCAGTAGACAGTGGTATACTTGTGAAGTCTTCGAACACAATACACAAGTGCATGTGTGGCTGATAATCAGTACTATTTGTTTGTAGCATGCACAGATTCGGAGATTGGCATGGCCCGAGATGGAAGGTAAAAGTTTCTTTGTCCTCCTGTTTTGTTTGATTGATAGCGTTATTTATGTTCCCTCCTAACTGTGGCATCCGAGACCGGGTCATCCAGATCGTTCACAGTTCTTTGTGGTCACAGATAAACGAGGGACTTCTCATGTCTTCTGGTGCATATGCTGAAAAAGCGAAGCCCCGGCAAGAGGCCGAGTGGCCCGAGATAACGGTGGCCTTTTGGTTCAGTGCGTCTCAGTCAGGTGCACTTGTCACCGGTCATAAGAAGCAAAGCCTTGCGGGCAATCGTCCTGCACAAGCGCTTACTTTGTGATTGAGTGATTGCAGAATATCATGCACAGCTATCCCGATTGTATTGCATAAAATGATGTGCATCGAACCACGGTCAATATGTTCCTCGCAGGGCTTCGATGGCACCACTCCCTGAACCAGTTCTGACGGCTTCGTCAGGATCAGCGCAGTCAAAGATCGCGTCAATGCTGTCACTGTATCCATCGGTGATCGACTCGAGCTGGAGGTCGAAGGAGACTTTGAAAAGGAGCTGATTGCCGACCCCCCAATCCACTTCATCAACTTCAAGATCAACAAGATGGCCACTAGCACAAATGTACACGGGGTAAGCCTCAGAACCGTTTGTTGGCAAGTTCCTTCACAAAACGTAGTAGGCTTCATCATTGAGCTCCTAGACTTCCAAGCGGGATAGAGTGTGGCTTCGATCGGCTTTTTCAAGCGCTCTGTTTGATATTGGGTGAAACTTTTTCATTCGTGTGTTGCGCCCCTTGATCATTACGTACAGCTTTCGCCCACCAACCCGGGGTCTCAGTAGTTGCATGGTCAATCAACCTGCCGCGCTGAGATTGACGCGTCTGGTTATTTACATCTCACTCTTGGGTGTTCCTGAACTGGACTGCACCTGAGCCTCAGCTGAAGCCTTCCCTGAAGGAGCCTGTTCCGCGAATGAAGTTGGATCGATGCCGTTCTGGGCCTTCTAGTTCGAGCACTGAGGGTCTTGTGTCGGTGCATCTCTTTAAAGTCTCTTTGACACCATCAATCAGATCGAGACACAGGCTTTGATTTGAGCGAGGGAGCCTCCTTGACCAAGCTTGGTTCTGGGATGTTGCAGTTCTTGGGGCAGATGTACGCCCCTGGCGCTATCAAAGAACGACTCGCTATGGGTACCCTTGAGGGCTTGCTTCATCGCGAGTACGTGGAAGGGACGGACCAAGAGTACGAGACACCGGGCTTGACTGATCCCAACTGTAGCTTCAGACGCTTTGGCAAGGTAAACCGAGCTAACACGGACTGCCCAGAACCTTTCCGAAACCCACGTGAAACTGTGTCTACTTCTCAATTGATAGAACAGAACTCTGAAGCAGCCGAAAGTTGTCGAATATTAAAGCGCTTCCTAGGTGCTAGCAATCTATCAGATGTTCTGCAGCATCTACATACTTCAGATCATTTGCACCGCTTGATTGACGGTTCTTATAGAGTATGATAAATGATGCCGGCAGCTTCCTCAGGCACACGTTGAAGACCAACTTCGCAAGTTCTTTTGTTTCAGAAGGTCTCAACGTGCACATGCAGGTCTAGATGATACACCAATGAACCAAAGCCAATCTCTTCTCATTCTTGATAGGAACCGAAGAACGTGGCTGACGGCCCACACGCTGTTGGCGGCAATCCGGCGCCCCTCGACTTGGTCCGGTCCAGCCGTCGCATGCTTTCGACCCGGGCCCACCTTGAGGATTCGTCGGCAGCGTGCCGCATGGCGGTGGCCTCTGCTGGGAAGGGCCTCTATATCAATTGCCAGTAGGCGACATGCATTGAGTAAATAGGCCCGTACCTGGCTTTGGTTGAAAGGGCATCAAATAAAGTTGATTGTTTATGATCTTCATGTTGCATGTGGGCATGAAGGCGCCGCGCCGCCGATCATGTAGAATTTCCATACGGTGCCGTGACATTCGATCGAGCTCAGTTTCTACCGACTCGAGCTTCGTATGCATCGATCCATGCACGCAAGTCCGGGGGGGTGATGATATGGTGTTTCGTGATGGACTTCGAAGCTGGAGACATGGAGAGCCACGGGAGATGACGATGTTCGCAAAGCCGACTCTCGCGAAAATAGGCCGGAGCATACATGGCGGCAGCTAAGGCAACGCCCGTGACGATTTCCACCGAGCATATCCTACAACGTGCCTCTTGCAGCTCATTGCAAAACATTTTATATGGAACTCGGCCAAGCCTAACCCTATATTGCCTCTGAGTGAGAGTTTGCGTGCGCGCGCATGGACACTATATGTACGAAAATTTCTGACGCTTGAACACGTACGGTACCAAGCAAGCTGTCTGCAATGATGCCATGGAAGTCTTGTCCAAAAACAAACATGCGGGATTGGGATTTGATTTTAACGCATGTGTGCATCATGCGTACGCGGTCGGGATTCCATACAGACCGGCCGGACCCGGACAGGTCCGCTTTGAAAACCGTAGCAGCTGTTCACATGATTCTCGAGCCAGCCAACTTAAGCTTTCACTGTCTTAAGTTTGCACGGTAACCACACACCATTCAAAGGGTATTTGCTCAGGCTTGGGCTTTGATAACGAGACATGCTGCGATCCATGGTTCAATAGTCAGCGAGCGTGCCAGTGTGCGCGGCGGCAATATACCCGCTGCAAGCTTCAATGCAACGATTCAACTTATGCAACATTAGTAGGCTGCCACGGCAGAAGTTCAAGATAAAAAATTGGCCCTGGCTGTCACTCTAAACGTCAATACCGTTGATATCGTCATTAACACGAAACAAGGAAGGCTATACAACGTTTTGCAGGGAATACAACCTAACGGCGCATCCACAGTCACCAGGCCGGGCTTGATCTTCGTGCTTGCTTCGCATTGTCGAAATTAAAAGTGGAGTGGTATCGCGCCATGTAGTAGACGTCGTCGAAGCTCAGTCGTCCCAATTGAGCCACGCGTCTGCAACAAAGACCGAGAATAGTTTGGAATTAGACACGGCTGAATGTTAGCGGAATCATATTAGGAGCGGAATCATATTAGGAGCGAAAACACTCAATCATATGAACGTGGGTCGCCTCAAAGATGCCCGTCAAGACCACAATGATCTTGAAAGTTGGACAGAACTCAGCCCTTGCCTCAAGAAGACTCCATCCGGCTCCCGAAACTCCTTAAGGCTGATCTTTATTGTCGAGACTCCACGGTCGAAGAAGAGACTGAGACGAGAAAGACGTATGTCGTTCTCGTCCTCTCCTTAGACCAGAACCGACTTTGTTAACGGCCGTTTCGCTGTTCAGATATCCGACCAGGGCAACAAAAGAGGGAGTTCCGAGCCCGCCTCAGCCTTTTCACAAGACGCAAAGCAGGTCACGTGTGGAAGTCAAGGTGCCACGTGTCAGCCCACCTGTGGTGCCTCCTGAAGGCCTTCGGCTGGCCCCTGCCAATTACTACCCGCCTTCACAAGCCAAAGCAAAGAAGAGCGGCGAAGTCCATCAGGGTCAGCAGCCGCCGGAATGTTGCCGGCGCACACGCGGCCACTGCTCCCAAGCCTGGCTTCGCCGTGCCGAGAGCTGTTCTTGTCCCGACCATGCCGCTGCCGCGAAAGCTCGATCCTGAATCAGGACTTTACAGTCCCGGTCATCATGATTCGAGAACGTGAAGGACTGTGCGCTTCAACAGTGAAATGATGGTAATTTCAGTGTGTCATGAACTGAGCACTCGAGTATCAAGCGCATGCGTGGCTGTTTTTCTGCCTTGCCGAACGGTCCAAGGAAACGATTGCGCGCACAACGTCTCCCGGAGCTCAAAGTAGAAAATGATGGCGTCAGGTGCAGCGAAATTGTCACGCACACGAACAAGACGAACAACTGAAAGTCGTTCCTTAAATTTACCAAGCCTTTAAGAATGCATCCAAGTGAGATACCAAATTGCACTTATCAGCCTGTCGGCGATCAGATGACGAGTTGCCAGGCGGTTTCTATGCAGTCACAATATAGCCAGTATATACTTCTGAATTTCTCACGGTATGGAATGAGGCAGAATGAAAGGGATGCACGGTAGCAGCAGCAGAAAGCTTCTTCGTACTTTCACAAGAACCCATGGACGCCATTCTGATACGAAGCTATGAAAAGAGAACATCGCTTCCTGATACGAAGCTATGAAAGGAGAACATCGCTTCCTGGCCGGTTCTGTACAGGCAAGAAGTAGGGGAAGAAAGGATCGAAGCATAGCTCACTCGACCATTGTTCGCAGCAGCGTGCCCAACATGTCCTTGAGGGGATCCCCCGGGTCCTTCGCAACAACCGGCGCACCAGGGCCTTTCTGCACGGAGTCAGAATAAATAAGCGTCGGACTCCGTAAGTTTACATGGGTGTTGCAAGTAAGTAACAGGAATGGCGTGAAGATAAAGCATCGCAGTCAGAGTAGACTGAGCCACGATTGCGGTCGGCAATGAATCAATTTGCCCACGTCGAAGTTCGTTCCGACGAAGTCAAGTTGATCACTTCCGCCCGGGAAAGCCGATCCAAGCAAGTGTTCCCAACCCGTCAAGCGACCCGTCTATTCGTCCCGTTTCACAGTCTCACAACTTCCAGAACCTTCCATCTTAAACGTAAACACCAAATAGAAGATTAAGAAGGAAAGACACAAAAAGCTTCCCAGCCCCGTCAGATCAGCACTCCAAAACATACGCGCACCTCCGCTTCTCCGCTGCGCTCTGCCCCCGGTGCATCATCTGCACCCGTTCCGCATCTTCTGACAACCGCCCCCCGTTCGCCTTTCGCTTTCTCCGGCAACACCGCCCCCTCGTGCCGCCGCAACCGCTCCCGCTACTTTCCGGGGGGAGCTTCTCACGGCTATTCCGACCCCCCCGGCATGGTCAGTGCCACCGATCCCCCCCCCGCGTCTCCTTTGCCTTTTCTTGCCTTGCCGCCCCCGCTGCCCCAACAACTCTTCGGGGGAAGCTTCTCAGCATAACGTCAGCCCCCCTGCCGTCGTCATTCTCTTTTTCTCCCCCCTGGTGCATCTCTTTCTCGCATCCCCGTTCCGCCGCCCCCGCTGCCCCGACAACCCTTCGGGGGGAGCTTCTTACCCCTATTCCGACCCCCCCGTTTGTGTTTAGATGCGCAACTTCTTCCCTCTTCTTCTCCCACAATGACCTGCTCATCCGAGCCGCCCCCGCCGCCCCAACATTCTCCGGGGGAAACTTCTCAACGCAGGTCCTAACCCCCCTCCCACCTCGAGTCTCGCCCTTTGACTTCCAAACGCATCTTTACCCTTGCTCCGCCTCCGTCCCGTGCAGTCACCGCTGGCCCCACATCTTTTCCAGCGGGGGATTCGTGGGCTGGTTGGTGGCCCCCGTTCTCGTCGGTTCTGCTTCGCTCCCCCGTAGGGGGGCGAGAGATTTCTCCAGCCAGCGTCGCTGGTTCGGGGAAGCGCCACGAACCGGAAACTTTGGCGAGCTCCGACTGTACCTGGAATGCAGCGCCCGAAATCATTCGAAGAATTGAGCGAAAGTTGCCCAAAAATGTTGGAAGTTGGCGACATAGCCAAGTCGAGTCGCGCTTCTTCAGGCCGAGGAACTTGAACTGTGTAACGACTTCAGAGAAAAAAGCGGCTACTTATTGCTGATCTGAAAACAGCACGAGCTTCGAATGACTGAAGTTCGGGCGGAAGTCGTACTCACGAACGCAAGCATTCCGCAACAAGGGTTTCGACTCAACGCAAAAGTGCACTCTGTCAAGTCACCTATTTGACCGGCATACCCGTCGATACAGGATGACAGAATAGAGAAGAAAAACCTCCAACCCCATAGAAAGCGAGACAAAACCTTTCTGTCACGGCCCAGACTATCTCGGGCCCCTTACCTGGCGGAAGAACACAGTGTCGCTCCAACACGCTTCCCGCCACTCTTTTGCCAATCCGTTCCTTCGCTGCTCAACTCTCGTATCCCCCGACGAAGCAGGCCCACCAAACGCCGCCCCTGGCCCTTGACCGCTTCCGGTTCCGGTTCGGCGACCCCCCCGGAATCGAACAGCGTGAGCGGGGACCGGGCCGTGCTGACGTGGCGGACGACGTCATCGAAGAAGCCGGGGCGGGCGGACCAGCGGTGAAGCTGGGGGAGGGAGACTTAGGCGAAGTCGGTGGGTTGGCAGGCGATGTAGAGGAACTGCGCGCAAAGGAAATTTACAGGAAGGTTTCGCTCTCAACCAAACCTGGTTAAAAGGAAAATAACCGCAACTATAATCAGCTTCGTCCGAGAGAAGGGCATCTAACCGGAGTATCAACCAGGCTTGGTTGACGGTACTTTACCCCCGTGAGAGGGGACAAATCGGCTGAGAGATCCTCAAACCGTGAATGCCGAAACACCAAACCGTAAAGCTGAATACCTGAAACCTTCGACGGCTATTTTGAGATTAGGATACAATAAGCACCTCTGGAAATGCGCAGAAGGGATGCGGTTTCACGAAAGATAGTGACAGTGATGAGAGATGTCGGAAGGGGCAGTGGCTCAAAGCGACGCGGGACGGTCCAACAACGCGAGCAAGGACAGAACTCTGCCAAGACCCCCGACCTCGTTCCAAAAAGGCGTCATCTTGCATTGTTTGTAATCTCGTCTCCTCCATCTCAGGAACCTATAAGAGAGCACTGATCACACTGTCCAGCCTGAAACTTTACCAACACGTGGCACTTCGTCCTGAAATAGTGAAGTAATTTCAAGTAAGGGAGAAGTAGTGAAATAGTAAAAAGCTCTGCTGAACTATGTTCCCCGTATTCTGCCGAGGAACGTTCGGAAAGTTTGCAGAAACAAGCACGAAACCCTGTCCTGCGGAAGCCATGTCTCGCCGTCGCTGCCAGGCGTTGTGTAGGGCGTCCGAGAGCCGTCCAATGAGGGCCTTGCTACTCGACTCCGCCTGCCTGTAACCATGGAGATGAGGATAAGATAAAAAGAAGATTAGATAGTTCTTTGAAAGCCAGGTTTGGGTAATAGGCACGGATGCTCCAAGAAGTTTTACCCCGCATCCTATACGAAGCAAAAGGCCTACATTCTTGTTACCCAATGAGGACGCGTCAAGAAAGCAGACCCTGATTCAAAAAGGAAGTACCGGACTCCAGAATCCTCAGTACCCGAAAGGATGCGTCCTTCGCGACAAGAAAGAAGGTGTCTGGAAAGATGCTTTCAGATTGTTCAGGCTAAAAGGTTGCGTGCGATTATTGTCAAAACAAAGAAAGACGGAGAAACAAAGGCGAAGCTCCCTGGAACAAAAGGGCACATCGATCTTCCCACTCCAGAGATTCTCAAGCGCGAGCCTCGTGAGGCTCCTTTCCAGCAACAATTTCATTGCCTCTAAGATGGCTCGATTCCGTATTTCTCAAGCACTGGCTATCTATGTAATCCACAGAAAGATTGTTTTAATCACACACCCGCGCCGCCGGCCGAACCTCCGCAACCGTCATCCCCCTCAGCGCCTTCTCGAGCGCAGGCCGGTCCCCCCCGAATCGATCTAGGGGGGCTAGCTTCTGGCTCCCACACCTCCGGAGCAGTGCCGCTCTGACCCCCCCTAAGAGCGAACACACGTTTGCGTGCTGCGTGAAATACTGTTCGTACAGCCATTCTAAAACCGGAAGAGAGAGCGCGAACCCTAGATCGTGGTCCAAGAAAAGGGGGGTAACTACGGCGTGTAGGCGGTTTGCTGGGGGAGGGGTTGGGAAGACTTCGGTGCGGAGGAGGAAGAGCGCCGCGGGGGTGAGGAGCAGTTGGAGGGATGTGGCGGCGGTCGCGGAAAGTAGGAGAAAGAGAGGTAGCTCGGAACGCCACTCGCTGCATGGACAAAAAAGGCACTTGATGTAGGAAATAACGATGAGCTGATGGTCTCGTTTGGCGATGTTTCAATTTTGAACCACTTCCAACCCTTTCAAATACTTCATCGAGTATTGCGGTTTTACCGAAATCCCACGGTATCAAAAACTCATTTTTTTGAATGAACACGAAAATGATGACTTTCTAAAGTCATTGTATTAGGAGGGAAACAAATGCCACGCCACCAATCTGGCCGGCCCTTAACAATCTCACGAAACTTGGTTACGTTTCAAGGGTTAAGCAATAACGAGACCCGTTTACCTAAGGATGAGCACCAGTTGTTCCAACGTGGCCGGGTCGGCCGCCTCTGGCTCCTCCACAAGAATCACGATCGGTTGGTCTCCCTTGGCAGCCTGTCGGTGCCACGCCCGCAAAGCCCCGACGTCGGCAGCCTGTACACAAAGGCGTCATCTTCGTCACTGACTATTGAAAAGTGCACGAAGGACGGGTCAAGATCAATTATGTATAGCATGGTCGCATCTGAGCTCAGGGAAAAGGTTGCTAATCGGTTCCTATGATTTTCCAAAACGTGATTGCCTTCCTGGCCACATCTGCCAAGACTTAGAGGTTGGAAATCAAGGGTAGGAACATTGAGGATTGTCGCAATTCTGGGTATTATGGTCCCAGCAGTCTACAAATGTGCACTACCAGGACCTCTAGCTACCGAAACCTCCGTACCGAACTTTTGCAAAGTCCAAGAGAAAAGGTTTGGGTGGCCTCCGCGGTATCAAACATCGGCAAGGTTAGGAGTTTGGTACCGAGAAGCTCCAAACTCCACCGTCGGGAATTCGAGTTGCGTAGATGCGACCATACTAACAGGAAGGCCTAAAGAGCGTCGACGAAGCCCTGGAAGGGTAAGAGATGCTCGAAGTGCATCCAACAAACATATTTCTAGCATCGAAACACGTCAAAAGCCTGTGGAGGGGGTCCTGCAGGCATTCGAATATTCTGAAGAGGTTCGTGTCACTTCCAAACATGTCCAGGTGCGTTTTTTTTCCGCTAATTGGTAATGAAGGGAGCAACGTCCTACAGGCTTGTCAGGTTCTTTTCTCGAATGGGTTGCCGTGTTTCTGGATCTCTTAGGACCGCCTTTCTGACGAGACAGAAATCGTCTCAAGTTGCATACCGAGCAATTCTAACAAGTCGGAACCTCTTAACTTTTACGAATCAGGTGACAAGCCGCACAACCTTTTCCTGACGGGATAAGCTCCCAGGCTTCCGGTCAGGCAGATTGTAATTTCCGAAGAGGGAAAAAGTCAACTTTTGCGCACTTGCCTCGACTTCCACCCCTATGAGCTGCTTCACAAGCCCTCTCAGCGCCTCGTTTGCCCCCCTGCGCACTCCCCCGGCCATCGACATGTGAGCGACGTGTAACCCCCTCTCGCGCAGATACCCCGCCCAAACCGCTGATCGTTCCACTGTGATCCGAGGGCGTGACCCCCCCCAAAAGAAGCAGCCCCGAATAAAGCCGGCTGTGCAGGGTTTGGAAGGGCCGGAGGGCCGCAAGGGCGTCAGGGTCCAGCTGAGGGGGGGTGGATTCGCCCTGCTGGTCGGGGGGGGGTCCATAGGAAAGTTGGGAGTCGTAATGGACACTGCTCAGACGGTCAGCGACGGACTGGTAGAAGGGCTGGTGAAGCTTGTCGAGCGCTGCCTGCAGAAGGGAAAGAAGTTTGTAATCTGACACTTTACATACTCTTCTATGTTGACAACAGGTATCTTGGGAGTTGGTATCATACCCTTCTTATGTGTTCTGCTTTATTGGTGTGCTTTATATGGTCTAGGCACGTGGGGAGAGGAGTAGGGGCGCTGTCTGCATTCAACGCTTTCAAATGCAGAAACTCGAATTGCTGAAATGGGCCCCGTCACGAAGGGACCATTGCACTATCTGTCAAGCATGATCAAGCAATGAGGACAATTCTCCTAACCCAAAGCACTAACCAGGCCTTGAAGTGCCATCAGAAAGGACTCACTTGTACACTGGCGCTCACTCGCTGCCATGCTTCATTGTAAGTGGCTACCCGGTAATCCGCTTCTCCCCATGCTAGTTCTGGTGCGGTGTCATCAGCAGCTGGCCCCTTGCCGCGGGGCTCGGCTTTGTGCAAGATAAAAGACTCCTGGACAAGGAAGCACACAAGCTCTGTTAGAAAGGCAAAGTCCACACGCAGAAGCAAGTGACCATTCAAATTGTAGCGAACTAGGTGACGTTCTGGCTTTAAAGTTGTAGTGGTCAGCTTTGCATCAGGCTTGGAGGATCTGAAAAGTCTGGTTGAACGCTGCGTGCTTGGGCCGCCAAACAAAAATGTCAACAGAATAGCTAGCTCTAAGACCACTCGGTACAAAGATTGTTGTCAGAATTGGCAAGCACCACGCTGCTCAGATCATACACCAAGCAAGTTTGAGCTGAGTACCTGGATGGTTAGGAAGTTGTCCTCATCATCCTTGCTTTGGTCCGCCATGATCCTTGTCCAGAGCTCGAAGTCAAATTTCAAATGACAAAGCTTTGAAATGGTAGCACGTGCACCATTGATATTGTATATTCTGCCGCCACGACATCTATAGGAATGACGTGGCGATTCTGCACCGTTCGATGCGTACCTGTCGCCATGGCCTAACGGCTATCTACCTGCATTTGACCGTTAGGACTGCTGCTTTCGCCTTGCGAGCATTTGCTTATGTTGTCTTGCATCTTGTGACTGGAGCTACGGCTCACCTATAAAGGTGGACTTCTCCACCGTGTAAGTCCTCATTCCTGATTTCCAAGTTTGAGGCATCCAATCTCTAGCAAGTTTCTCAACTCTCGAGCTCCGCTCTTCCCGGCCGCTAAGCTCCCTACTAGTGTATAAGTCTCCAATTTCCTTGTGAAATTAGTCGGAGATTACACATTTTGATCGGCTTCAGCCTTCAGGATCAGGATCTGTCTTTGACTCTGAGACGCTTCCTCCAACCTGGTTTTAGTCATTGACCAGGAAATCCATTCTTGCCGGCGCGGCTGCCGTTTGTTTTCCAGCGGCTGCTTTCACGGGCCCGTAGCGTGGGCGTTTCGCCGCGCCGGTGGCGGCGACCGTACTCTGAACGTTTCTGCTGACATTTGGATTCTGCGCTCGAAGATTCTTGGTTATCTGTAACGAGCTGGATAACCACAGCGCAGGCTGCATTGCAAAGAAGCTTGATCCAGCTTGATGATCAAGTTGATCCGGACAATTTAAACTTCAAGTTCAAGTTCAAGCGACAAGCTTCTCTAGTACAGCAACAGATCTAAAGACGTGATGAGTATGCAGGAGCAGGAGGCCGCATTAGTGGGGGCTTGAGTTGCAGGCAAGCGCACATTGTAGCTGAAATTGGAAATGAAAGGGTTCCATCTCGATTGGGGCCGTGCACTTTGGCAGCTGAGCAGCAACGGATCCGGAAAGAAGGCGGCAGCTAGCCACAATGTGATCAGTAGCGCCGCAGCAGTCGCTGGTTGTGGCAGTGGCCTTGCAAGGTTTGGCAGCTCTTTCAGCAGCTTGTTGCTGCACAAAGCGCCAGGTGTGGAAGCAAAAGAGTGCCAGACTACATCACAATCTGTGTCTGTGCGCGCCACTA